GAAAGATTTAAGGCAACGTTTTTTGTTTTTTTTTTTAATTAAATTTCCGGAGAGAGAACTGACACAGTTCTCTAAGGCCTCAGGGAATGGTAGTGGGTTGGGTTTGGGGAAAGTGGTCTGGTTTCTCAGCCTAACACAGGCTCCAACTGTTCCCAGGGGGATGGCATCCAGTCCTACTAGGAATGAGAAGAAAAAGGGCAGCCGGCAGTCCCAGGCAGCAACCTCTGCAACCTCATTGGGCGGAGGTCCGGTGAGCACTGGAGAGGAATTCTTGAGCTGGGGGTGAAATGAGCTGGGGAGCGCCTTGTCTGAGGGCACTGGGACCTCCAGCCTTGAAACTCTAGCCTCAACCTTGAGCCCAGAGCCCCCAGCACTAGGCCCTAAGGTCCTCAAAGACTTCCTCCCCCTTCCCCACCTTCCAGGGCCTTCTAGGCCAAATCTCAAGGCCCAGCTCTCCAATACCAGACTCCTTAGATCCAGAGCCCCCAGCCAGGGAGCCTCTAGACCCAGGACTCCCATGTAGGAACACCCAGGCTGAGCCCCTCTGATTTCCCTTTCCCATAAGGTTTTGCATTCTGAGGAATTCCTGACCCGGATCAGCACGGAACTCACCGACGAGGCCTTGTTTATGGCTGCCTTCCACATGAACCCTGTGCCCATGGAGGAAAAACAGACACAAGACCGAGGGACTCAGATATCCAAACACGGTGACCCCTACTCCAGGACCACTGTGTCCAGGGACCCTCCTGTACTCCTAGTTCCAGTCCCTGACACCCTCCCAACCACGTGGATTCCTCTCCAGGAATCCATTCTCATCCCTCACAACCCACAGCCAGTTCTGGGACTGCCCAGTGCCCCCTGCCCACTAACCCAGTACCCACCCCTCACTGCTGGCCAGCAATCACCTTAGCCCCTTCCTCCCTAGCCACATTTCTTTCTGGCTATGGGGATAGTAATTTCTCTGTCTGGGGCCTCTACTTCCAGTGTTCTTCACAAAGACCCGAGGCACTGACACCTGGTGAGTGAGGCTTCAAGGGAGAGGCTCTTTGTCCTGGGAGAAAAATAAGGAGGCTGTAGGGGAGAGAGTGAGGGTTTGACAACATCCCAGCAGGGCAGAGGTATTTTTAAACCACGTAAACCTATTCTGTTCTGCTCTGACCCTTGAATTGAGATTCCTCAGTCCTCTCCTTTCCTTCCGCCATCTCTAGCTCTGACAGAAACTGTACCCGTACCAAGGCACACCTCCTACCATCCCCTCGTGAGAAGGTACGTACTGGGTCCATGCATGACAAGACAATTCAGAATTAACCACACATTTAGAGTTCACATGATATGCCAGTCCCTGTTTTAGGAATTTGGGACCCAGATGAGTGATACAGTCACTGTCCTTGAAGAGTTCAGAGTTTAGTGTTGGACCAGTCAAGTAGGTGGCCAATTACAATAAATATGGATAAGTGCCCATAATAGAAATTGAAACAGTGAGAAGGGCACTTATCCCAGCCTTAGTTGGGATAGGAAGGAAAGAAGTCATGGAGCTTCCTGGAGGAGGGGACACCTAAATAAAGAAATTTCCAGGAAAAAACAGGGTTGTAAGTGTATCCAAGTGGTAGAGCTTGCATGAGCAAAGGTGCAGAGGTGAGTCTCAGGAGCATGAGTGTGGGTGTATGTGTGTGTTCTTAGGACAGGAAAGAGGCTGAGACCAGAAGCACTTTAACTGCTGGACTGTGCAGGCAAGGTAGCCAGGGACTAATCAAGAGCCCTTACGTCTGCCTTATTAAGATCCATAGATGTTTTCCTATAGGTGAGGTGTCATTGAAGAGTTTTGAGCAAGGGAGGTTGGAATTTTAGATCAGTCACTCTGGGAGTCAGTGGGGAGACTGAAGTGGAAAGGGGATAGACCAGAGGCAGGGAGGCCAAATAGGAATTGGAGACTAAGCTCGAGATGATTAGGTCCTGAATTGTCAGAGTAAAAGAGATGAGAGGAGGGGCAGATATGAGAAATACAGGCCAGGAAGACTGAGTTTGGTAATTGATTAGAAATGGTGAGGATGAAAAAGAAGGAATCAGATGACACACAGGTTTCTGACTTGGGTAACCTAAGTCTGATGCTATCATGCTTCTGTTTAGACTCTACAATAGTTCTTCATTTCAGAGTCAAAGCCAAAGTTCTTCAGCGGGTCACAAGGCCCTTCATGTACTTTCTCCTCCCCAGCCCCATTGTTGCTCTGACCTCATTGCCTATGACTGCTCCCCTTTCCCTGCTTTCATTCACACCAGCCTTCTTATTCTTCCTGGAGCATGGCAGGCACGCTCCCGCCTTCGGACAGATTGTGTTTGAGGTGCCCCTAGGAATTCTAGGTGGAAATACCCTGTAGACAGTTGGAAATACAGCTTCAGAACTCACTGGCAAGGTCTGGGCCAGTGATAGAGTTCTGATCTAGGAGGGAGTTGGCAGTTGAAGAGTGTGTGGTTGCCCTGGGGGGTTGTGCAGAGTGAGAAAGAAGAGGGTACTGAGGCTGGAACCCTAGAGAACCTCTCCATGTAAGGGGTTGGCAGACAAGAAGAGAGGGGTTCATGAAGAAAGCAGAGAAGGAATTGACAGCAAATGTTTATTGAGTGTCTGTTATGAATGGGGAATGATGGGTAGATTTGTGGATGAATAAATTGATGGAAGGGGAATAGTGGGTGGATGGATGGATGGGGAATGGGGGATGGGTAAATAGATGGGTGGGGGATAGGGGTTGGCTAGACAGGTGAAGAAGGTAAGGATAAAAAGCTATGAGCCTTGCATCTAAAGGGTCCAAATGACTTGCTGTTTTCTAGGGAGCTCTGCCTAGCAGCTTGACATCTGGAGGATGAACCCAACGCTCTTTGGTGCTGCTCTTGGCCTCTCGTGCCCTCCCCCATTGTGTCCCTCTAGAACATGCATCAGATCTCTTTCAAAATTCATTCAATTGTTCGGTTTTGGGGGGACTCCTAGTCATGAGCAACATCACCCCTGAAGCCTCCGAAGTGTTCTGGAACCATCAAACACCTCTCCACGCTCAACTGGCAGTGACACCACCAGAAATCAAAAGCTTTAATAAAGACAGAGATCTTTCCCTGCTCCCAACCTGGGCAGTGCTCTCTTGTGGCTTCTCTGGAGTGATGTGGGAAGAGTGTCCTCTCCACTTTTGCCAGATCTTATTGGAACAGCATATTCCATATTATGGAAATGGCTTTAATTCAGGCAGTTTTCAACCTATTATCTGTCAACCTGTTGGCAGAGATGAGTCCATGGATCTAGATCCAGCATCTAGCCAAACTCCAGCACCTTCTGTGGCATCTGAGAGGGTCCACCTTTGCTTCTCAGGAGCCACTCTGCCACCAGAGTCAGTGTTGAGGTCTCCTCTCCATACTTTGGAGCCTCCTGGCTCTGGGAATATATTATGCCCATTACTAGCCAGAGGGCAGTGTAGTAGGCTTGGTGGAGTTTGCATTTAAATCCCAGTCTGACTATATTCAATACCTTGTAATAGCCTATAATGAAAAAGAATATGAAAAGGAATATATATATATATGTATAGCTGAATCACTATGCTGTACCGGAAATTAAAACATTATGAACCAACTATATGTCAATTTAAAAAAAGGAAATATGAAAGTTAAACATATCATAAATTTTAGGAAAATGCAAATTAAGTGACAGGACAATCAAATACTTTTGTCTGAT